CAAACCATAATGTATAAAATTTAACTTTAATCTATCTTAACTCGACATAGATCTACCCCTTAACTTAACCAAAGTTTCTGAGCCAAGTTTACTGGAAACCAACTTAGATCAAGTCAAACATAACTTGTGTGTTTTAATGTGACATTGATCCGCTCTTGGCTGCCATCAGTGTGAGAAGGCAGCCATCAGTAAGGGAAGGCTGCCATCAGTGAGGGAAGGCAGCCATCAGTGTGGGAAGGCTGCCATCAGTGAGGGAAGGCAGCCATCAGTGTGGGAAGGCTGCCATCAGTGTGGGAAGGCAGCCATCAGTGTAGGAAGGCAGCCATCGGTGTGGGAAGGCAGCCATCAGTGAGGGAAGGCAGCCATCAGTGAGGGAAGGCAGCCATCAGTGAGGGAAGGCAGCCACCAGTGTGGGAAGGCTGCCATCAGTGTGGGAAGGCTGCCATCAGTGTGGGAAGGCAGCCATCAGTGAGGGAAGGCAGCCATCAGTGTGGGAAGGCTGCCATCAGTGTGGGAAGGCAGCCATCAGTGAGGGAAGGCAGCCATCAGTGAGGGAAGGCAGCCATCAGTGTGGGAAGGCAGCCATCAGTGAGGAAAGGCTGCCATCAGTGTGAGAAGGCAGCCATCAGTGTGAGAAGGCAGCCATCAGTGAGGGAAGGCAGCCATCAGTGTGGGAAGGCAGCCATCAGTGAGGGAAGGCTGCCATCAGTGAGGGAAGGCTGCCATCAGTGTGAGAAGGCAGCCATCAGTGTGAGAAGGCAGCCATCAGTGTGGGAAGGCTGCCATCAGTGTGAGAAGGCAGCCATCAGTGTGAGAAGGCAGCCATCAGTGAGGGAAGGTAGCCATCAGTGAGGGAAGGCAGCCATCAGTGAGGGAAGGCAGCCATCAGTGAGGGAAGGCAGCCATCAGTGAGGGAAGGCAGCCATCAGTGAGGGAAGGCAGCCGTCAGTGAGGGAAGGCAGCCATCAGTGAGGGAAGGCAGCCATCAGTGAGGGAAGGCAGCCATCAGTGAGGGAAGGCAGCCATCAGTGAGGGAAGGCAGCCATCAGTGAGGGAAGGCAGCCATCAGTGAGGGAAGGCAGCCATCAGTGAAGGAAGGCAGCCATCAGTGTGGGAAGGCAGCCATCAGTGTGGGAAGGCAGCCATCAGTGTGGGAAGGCAGCCATCAGTGTGGGAAGGCAGCCATCAGTGTGGGAAGGCAGCCATCAGTGTGGGAAGGCAGCCATCAGTGTGGGAAGGCTGCCATCAGTGAGGAAAGGCTGCCATCAGTGAGGGAAGGCAGCCATCAGTGTGAAAAGGCTGCCATCAGTGAGGGAAGACAGCCATCAGTGTGAAAAGGCTGCCATCAGTGAGGGAAGGCAGCCATCAGTGTGAAAAGGCAGCCATCAGTGAGGGAAGGCAGCCATCAGTGAGGGAAGGCAGCCATCAATGAGGGAAGGCAGCCATCAGTGAGGGAAGGCAGCCATCGGTGAGGGAAGACAGCCATCAGTGTGGGAAGGCAGCCATCAGTGTGGGAAGGCAGCCATCAGTGAGGGAAGGCAGCCATCAGTGAGGGAAGGCAGCCATCAGTGAGGGAAGGCAGCCATCAGTGAGGGAAGGCAGCCATCAATGAGGGATGGCAGCCATCAGTGAGGGAAGGCAGCCATCAGTGAGGGAAGGCAGCCATCAGTGTGAGAAGGCAGCCATCAGTGTGGGAAGGCAGCCATCAGTGTGAGAAGGCAGCCATCAGTGTGGGAAGGCAGCCATCAGTGTGGGAAGGCAGCCATCAGTGAGGGAAGGCAGCCATCAGTGTGAGAAGGCAGCCATCAGTTAGGGAAGGCAGCCATCAGTGTGGGAAGGCAGCCATCAGTGTGGGAAGACAGCCATCAGTGAGGGAAGGCAGCCATCAGTGTGGGAAGACAGCCATCAGTGAGGGAAGGCAGCCATCAGTGAGGGAAGGCAGCCATCAGTGAGGGAAGGCAGCCATCAGTGTGGGAAGGCAGCCATCAGTGTGGGAAGGCAGCCATCAGTGTGGGAAGGCAGCCATCAGTGAGGGAAGGCAGCCATCAGTGAGGGAAGGCAGCCATCAGTGAGGGAAGGCAGCCATCAGTGAGGGAAGGCAGCCATCAGTGAGGGAAGGCAGCCATCAGTGTGGGAAGGCAGCCATCAGTGTGGGAAGGCAGCCATCAGTGTGGGAAGGCAGCCATCAGTGAGGGAAGGCAGCCGTCAGTGTGAGAAGGCAGCCATCAGTGTGAGAAGGCAGCCATCAGTGTGAGAAGGCAGCCATCAGTGTGAGAAGGCTGCCATCAGTGTGGGAAGGCAGCCATCAGTGTGGGAAGGCAGCCATCAGTGTGAGAAGGCAGCCATCAGTGTGGGAAGGCAGCCATCAGTGGGAGGGGGAGGCCTGGAGACTCCCCTCCCCCTGGCTGCCCACCGCCAGAAATAAAGGAATATAAACTGATTTTTATATTTCTTTTGTATAAGTGAGAGTGGTTGCCCTTCAGCACACGGACTGGGGGATGGAGAGCAGAGAACACCGCCCGCCCCCTGGCTATTGTGTAGCCGGGGGGGGGGAGAGGGAGAGAGAGAGAGAGAGAGAGAGAGAGAGAGAGAGAGAGAGAGAGAGAGAGAGAGAGAGAGAGAGAGAGAGAGAGAGAGAGAGAGACAGAGAGAGAGAGAGACAGAGAGAGAGAGAGAGAGAGAGAGAGAGAGAGAGAGAGAGAGAGAGAGAGAGAGAGAGAGAGAGACAGAGAGAGAGAGAGACAGAGAGAGAGAGAGAGAGAGAGAGAGAGAGAGAGAGAGAGAGAGAGAGAGAGAGAGAGAGAGAGAGAGAGAGAGAGAGAGAGAGAGAGAGAGACAGAGAGAGAGACAGAGAGAGAGACAGAAGAGAGAGAGAGAGAGAGACCTCACCTATAACAGTGAGGTCGACACACCTGTACACACCCACCAATAACAACGAGGTCGACACACCTGTACACACCCACCTATAACAGTGAGGTCGACACACCTGTACACACTCACCAATAACAACAAGGTCGACACACCTGTACACACTCACCAATAACAACAAGGTCGACACACCTGTACACACCCACCTATAACAGTGAGGTCGACACACCTGTACACACTCACCTATAACAACGAGGTCGACACACCTGTACACACTCACTAATAACAGTGAGGTCGACACACCTGTAAACACTCACCTATAACAGTGAGGTCGACACACCTGTACACACCCACCTATAACAGTGAGGTCGACACACCTGTACACACCCACCAATAACAGTGAGGTCGACACACCTGTACACACTCACCTATAACAGTAAGGTTGACTCTCTTGTTCCTGGTGGGGGTGTGGAGGAAGTCGACCCTACACCTGTAGATCCCGGCGTCGTCGGCCTCGACCCGGTCGACAAGGAGGGCGGCGGGCGTCGTGTCTGTTCGGAAGGTTGTTCGACGCGCCAAGGTCGAGTTGGCGTCCGGTTTGGTCTCCTTGGGTCGACCTCCGAGTAGTTCCCGGTAGTCGTAGCTGGTGGGAGAAGGAGTGTCTTTAAGATCATGGGTTTGTGGGTTTGTGTTTAAGTCCCTGGGTTTGTGTTTAAGATCATGGGTTTGTGGGTTTGTGTTTAAGATCATGGGTTGTGGTTTGTGTATTAGACCCTGGGTTTGTGGGTTTGTGTTTAAGATCATGGGTTTGTTGGTTTGTGTATTTGACCCTGGATTTGTGAGTTGTGAGCTATGTATATGTGTGTATGTGTGTGTGTGTGTATGTGTGTGTGTGTGTGTGTGTTGTGTGTGTGTGTGTGTGTGTGTGTGTGTATGTGTATGTGTATGTGTATGTGTGTGTGTGTGTGTGTGTGTGTGTGTGTGTATGTGTGTGTGTGTGTATGTGTGTGTGTGTGTATGTGTGTATGTGTGTGTGTATGTGTGTATGTGTGTATGTGTGTGTATGTGTGTGTATGTGTGTGTGTGTGTGTACGTGGAGTGGGGGGGGGTTGATTGGAGGGGTGGGAAAAGGGGGGTGAATTTACAAGAGTGAATTAAATGGAAGCACGTCATCAAACTATCGAAACATCAACCTCTCTACAAACTGCAGTTTTCCCAATCATACACAGTCAACAGGCCTCACACTCCACGTCACAGATGAATATATAAAAATCACTATTTCACCTTTATATCCACGACAATATTTCCTGGAATATATTGATGCCCTGAAGGCTGTCCATGAGGGGAAGTAGAAGACAAAGTGAAGAGGTTGAGAAGCTGTCTTCACGTCTTTCAGAACTTGCAATATCTGACAATACCAGAAAATGAATTAATTTGAGTTATTTTTTAAGCTCAGTGATGAAGAGTTGGGTTTAGTAGGTTAGAATCAACTGATTCAAATTGTCTAAAGTTTCTAATGATTGTTGGGATGAATTTCTGGAGATGTAGACTGACTCGGGAGCAACAGGCTTGTTTGATGAGAAGTCAATCGCAGAATTTTGGGGGCTTTGATGTGACCTTCCTGCCCAAACGCTTCCGACAGGAGCTATCCAAGCATTGTTTCCATTTGTATCAAAAATACCTTTGTGATAAAGCATTTTAAACTCAATTGCAAATGAGAGTAAAGTAACATGAACACACACAGTACTACCACTACACACTCTCCCCCACACAGTACTACCACTACACACTCCCCCCACACACAGTACTACCACTACACACTCTCCCACACACAGTACTACCACTACACACTCCCCCACACACAGTACTACCACTACACACTCCCCCCCCCACACAGTACTACCACTACACACTCTCCCCCACACACAGTATTACCACTACACACTCTCCCCCCCACACACAGTACTACCACTACACACTCTCCCCCACACAGTACTACCACTACACACTCCCCCACACAGTACTACCACTACACACACTCCCCCCCACACACAGTACTACCACTACACACTCTCCCCCACACACAGTACTACCACTACACACTCCCCCACACACAGTACTACCACTACACACTCCCCCCCCCACACAGTACTACCACTACACACTCTCCCCCACCCACAGTACTACCACTAAACACTCTCCCCCCCACACACAGTACTACCACTACACACTCCCCCACACAGTACTACCACTACACACACTCCCCCCCCCACACACAGTACTACCACTACACACTCCCCCCCACACACAGTACTACCACTACACACACTCCCCCCACCCACAGTACTACCACTACACACTCCCCCACACAGTACTACCACTACACACTCCCCCCACACACAGTACTACCACTACACACTTCCCACACACACAGTACTACCACTACACACTCCCCCCACACACAGTACTACCACTACACACTCCCCCCACACACAGTACTACCACTACACACTCCCCCACACAGTACTACCACTACACACTCTCCCCCACACAGTACTACCACTACACACTCCCCCACACACTCCCCCACACACAGTACTACCACTACACACACTCCCCCACACAGTACTACCACTACACACTCTCCCCCACACAGTACTACCACTACACACTCCCCCACACAGTACTACCACTACACACTCCGCCACACAGTACTACCACTACACACTCCCCAAACAGTACTACCACTACACACTCCCCCACACAGTACTACCACTACACACACTCCCCCACGCAGTACTACCACTACACACTCCCCCACACAGTACTACCACTACACACTCCCCCACACAGTACTACCACTACACACTCCCCCACACAGTACTACCACAACACACTCCCCCCCACACAGTACTACCACTACACACTCCCCCACACAGTACTACCACTACACACTCTCCCCCCACACAGTACTACCACTACACACTCCCCCACACAGTACTACCACTACACACTCTCCCCCACGCAGTACTACCACTACACACTCCCCCACACAGTACTACCACTACACACTCCCCCACACAGTACTACCACTACACACTCCCCCACACAGTACTACCACTACACACTCCCCCACACAGTACTACCACTACACACTCTCCCCCACGCAGTACTACCACTACACACTCCCCCACACAGTACTACCACTACACACTCCCCCACACAGTACTACCACTACACATTCTCCCCCACACAGTACTACCACTACACACTCCCCCCACACCTTTCTCCACAACAGGGAAAATACCCTCACAGGAGCCGCCCGGGCCGAGGCCCAGTTTCTGGAGGCCTATGCTTGGCGAATTCAAGGTGGAAAGATTCCCCTGATCTCCTGTCCACCCTCCCGTCCGCCTGGCCGTCCCTTCCCGGACGACGTCCCCGTCTGGCGTCTGATTATCGAGAGGCTGTAGAGGGGCGCCCTCCTCGCCTCTCTTGTTACTCTCTAGTCTCCCTGCTGTAAATGGCTTCCCTTGGCGCCTTAATCAAATCAATCAAATCAAATGGTTATTTAGGTAAGGTACAATGTCCTCAAATGTACAATTTAATGTCCTCAAGCTCCACCACCATAAATATATCACACACCAAAAGGCCCCGCAGGAAAAAGAAAAGCAGAAACAAGAGATAAAAGGCTTTAGAGGAGAAGGACAAGTTTGGAGAAGTAAAAGGCTCTTGATAAGTTCAGATTGGAGTACCAAAAGGCCCTAGAGAAGTCCAGATTGGATTTCCCCAATCTGGATTTCATCTCTCAAGCAAGGGCTCTAGAGCAAAAAGCTGAAAAGGCCAGAGAAAAGCCCCTGAATGCCAAAGACCAGACCAAAATGAAAGAAAAAAAATCCAAAATGGAAGCCGGGATGATGGCCAAATGTCCCAGTAAAAGGTGGAGCTCCACCAGCCGTTTTCCCCCGAAGCCTTATCAGGTACGGAGGCGAGGACGTGAAGAGCTTAGAGGCCAGCTTCGGCGCCAGCATCCTCGCGGCGCGCGAAGAAGCCATCGTCAGCGGCGCGCGAAGAAGCCATCGTCAGCGGCGCGCGAAGAAGCCATCGTCAGCGGCGCGCGAAGAAGCCATCGTCAGCGGCGCGCGAAGAAGCCATCGTCAGCGGCGCGCGAAGAAGCCATCGTCAGCGGCGCGCGAAGAAGCCATCGTCAGCGGCGCGCGAAGAAGCCATCGTCAGCGGCGCGCGAAGAAGCCATCGTCAGCGGCGCGCGAAGAAGCCATCGTCAGCGGCGCGCGAAGAAGCCATCGTCAGCGGCGCTAACTTTACGAAGTCACCGCCTGCGCTCTTCATATAATAGACCCGTCGGAGGACTACTTCGAAGTCCTCGACGCTAGACAAAATGAAGCACATGATTTAAGGCGAACTTTACTTCGAAGAGTAAATTCGGATCCAGAATGAGCGACTGTGGTGGTAGGAGCATTTAGTTATGCGACAGAACATTGCGGAACTGGTAAAGTTATGGGGAGGAAAATGAGAAAGGGCATTTGGTTAGTGTGCCCAAGGAGGAGGCTCGCGCGTACGGAGGCTCGCGCGTACGGAGGCTCGCGCGTACGGAGGCTCGCGCGTACGGAGGCTCGCGCGTACGGAGGCTCGCGCGTACGGAGGCTCGCGCGTACGGAGGCTCGCGCGTACGGAGGCTCGCGCGTACGGAGGCTCGCGCGTACGGAGGCTCGCGCGTACGGAGGCTCACGCGTACGGAGGCTCACGTGTACGGAGGCTCGCGTGTACGGAGGCTCGCGTGTACGGAGGCTCGCGTGTACGGAGGCTCGCGTGTACGGAGGCTCGCGTGTACGGAGGCTCGCGTGTATGGAGACTCGCGTGTATGCAACCGAAAACTCCTCACCCCTGAAGGATTCGAACCCAGACAGCCAGGGGCCCCATGAACCTCTGCGTATCCAGTACCGTACCAACTAGACCACACTGACTGTACAAAAGGTGTCATTATGCCCCAAAACACATCCTATAAGCTTCAGGAGTTAGCAGAAACGATCTCAACTCACTATTCTTCACTGTCCACTGGTCGAGACGCTCTTCTACAGTCAATTGGGTGTATTCACCTAGTTGTATTCACCTAGTTGTATTCACCTAGTTGTATTCACCTAGTTGTGGTTGCGGGGGTTGAGCTCTGCTCTTTCGGCCCGCCTCTCAACTGTCAATTAATCAACTGTTTATAACTACTAAAAAAAAAAAAATCCACACACACACACACACACAGGAAGCAGCCCGTAACAGCTGTCTAACTCCCAGGTACCTATTTACTGCTAGATAACAGGAACATCAGGGGTGAAAGAAACTCTGCCTATTTTGTTGCCGCCGGCACCGGGGATCGAACCCGGACCCTAGGATTACGAGTGGAGAGCGCTGTCCACTCAGCTATCAGGCCCCCCAGGTGTGTGTATGGGGCGTGTGCCTGGCTGTCAATCTCAACTGGAGTACTTGAGCCTGTCCTTCTAAGGGTCACTGCTCGAGACCCAACACTTCTTCAATGTGCTCAAAGAAATGTTTAGATTCCTCTGGTACAAGCAGTGGTATGTCCGAGCCCTCTGGCCTGTCCTGTGTCTTCTTAACTTGAGTCGTCTTAACCTCTGTCCTCTTAACCTGTGTCCTCTTAACCTCTGTCCTCTTAACCTGTCCTCTGTCCTCTTAACCTGTCCTCTGTCCTCTTAACCTGTGTCCTCTTAACCTCTGTCCTCTTAACCTCTGTCCAGAGGTAACCTGTCCTCTGTCCTCTTAACCTCTGTGCAGAGGTAACCTGTCCTCTGTCCTCTTAACCTCTGTCCAGAGGTAACCTGTCCTCTGTCCTCTTAACCTCCGTCCAGAGGTAACCTGTCCTCTGTCCTCTTAACCTGTCCTCTGTCCTCTTAACCTCTGTCCAGAGGTAACCTGTCCTCTGTCCTCTTAACCTCCGTCCAGAGGTAACCTGTCCTCTGTCCTCTTAACCTGTCCTCTTAACCTGTCCTCTCTCTGGTGGATGGGTGAACTTGTGTCCTGTTCTCTATTCCCTTCTACCTCCTTATGTCTCGTTTTCTCTCCTATTTCTTGTTCTAACTCCAGTTTTCGTATCCTGGTTTCTACTTTTTTTTCATCTGCAGTTTTGGCTACACTTGGGGTGGACGGTAGAGCGACGGTCTCGCTTCATGCAGGTCGGCGTTCAATCCCCGACCGTCCACCACAAGTGGTTGGGCACCATTCCTTTCCCTCCGTCCCATCCCAAATCCTTATCCTGACCCCTTCCAAATGCTATATAGTCGTGATGGCTTGGCGCTTTCCCCCCCTGATTGTTTCCTTCCCTAGTTGGATGAGCCACGTGGAACTTGGAGCCAAGAGGAACCCATCCCCAGCTCCTGTTCCAGCTGCTGCTGTTACTGCGGCTGCTCCTGTTTGACCGTTGTGTCCTCACTACATCTTGCCCGTCATCTTCCCTTCCTCCTTCAACTCTTTTTTGAGCTCCTTGCTCTACCTGTTACCTAGCAGTAAAATAGGTACCTGGGTGTTAGTCAGCTGTCACGGGCTGCTTCCTGGGGGTGGAGGCCTGGTCGAGGACCGGGCCGCGGGGACACTAAAAAGCCCCGAAATCATCTCAAGATAACCCCGTCGCTCCTGGCTCTCAACTCACAAGGAAGAGTAATAATTAGTAATTACAACAATTATTATTATAATAAATGCATAGGTAATGGGTATGCTGCATGGGTAACAGCTTCTCTCCCATACCAACCTACCCAGTCTTTGCACCCTGGAGAGGGGGGGATGTGACCTGCTGCATGGGTAACAGCTTCTCTCCCAAACCAACCTACCCTGGCTTTGCGCCCTGGAGAGGGGAATGTGACCTGCTGCATGGGTAACAGCTTCTCTCCCATACCAACCTACCCAGGCCTTGCACCCTGGAGAGACCACTCCAGACCGACAACCAGAGCCCAAACCCCATAGTCTCCTGAGACTGCTGGCTGCCTACTACTATATATATGTATATAATGAGCCTGATACATGCGTATACATACTACACATACTAACCTGTATAGAGGTGTGTGGACGCCTTCCTTGATCCATAGTATGAGTTGTACTGAGTCCTTAGGGTCGTTGACCTGCAGGTCACAGGGCAGCGCTGCCAGGCCCCCCTCAACCACACTCCTCTCAGCCATCTCAACTGTAATACAAGGGTCTATTGTCAGAGTGTGTCGTGAGGGGCTTGTGAGAGTGTGTCGTGAGGGTCTTGTGAGAGAGGGTCTTGTGAGAGTGTGTCGTGAGGGGCTTGTGAGAGTGTGTCGTGAGAGTGTGTCGTGTGAGGCTTGTGAGAGTGTGTCGTGAGGGTCTTGTGAGAGTGTGTCGTGAGGGGCTTGTGAGAGAGGGTCTTGTGAGAGTGTGTCGTGAGGGTCTTGTGAGAGTGTGTCGTGAGGGTCTTGTGAGAGAGGGTCTTGTGAGAGTGTGTCGTGAGGGTCTTGTGAGAGTGTGTCGTGAGGGTCTTGTGAGAGTGTGTCGTGTTAATTTTGTACACAAATGATAATTTTCTATAGCACCAGAATTACAAAAGTATAAGTTAATCCTCAGAGATCATCTTCACTATGGCATCATGAAGAGTGAAACAGGAGAGTAACAGCACTCGGGGCCTGGGTAAGTCTGGCCCAACAAGGATCTACAAATGGACACTGACCACAGTGCCTGTGAGGAATGAGTGCCACCAGTCAGGCACTGACCTGGCACTCCTGACACTGACCCCTGGCACTCCTGACCCTGACCCCTGGCACTCCTGACCCTGACCCCTGGCACTCCTGACCCTGACCCCTGGCACTCCTGACACTGACCCCTGGCACTCCTGACACTGACCCCTGACACTCCTGACCCTTACCCCTGGCACTCCTGACACTGATCCCTGGCACTCCTGACCCTGACCCCTGGCACTCCTGACACTGATCCCTGGCACTCCTGACCCTGACCCCTGGCACTCCTGACACTGATCCCTGGCACTCCTGACCCTGTCCCCTGGCACTCCTGACACTGATCCCTGGCACTCCTGACACTGACCCCTGGCACTCCTGACACTGACCCCTGGCACTCCTGACACTGACACTTCTGACACTGACCCCTGGCACTCCTGACACTGACCCCTGGCACTCCTGACACTGACCCCTGGCACTCCTGACCCTGACCCCTGGCACTCCTGACCCTGACCCCTGGCACTGCTGACACTGACCCCTGGCACTCCTGACACTGACCCCTGGCACTCCTGACCCCTGGCACTCCTGACACTGACCCCTGGCACTCCTGACCCTGACCCCTGGCACTCCTGACACTGACCCTGGCACTCCTGACCCTGACCCCTGGCACTCCTGACACTGACCCCTGGCACTCCTAACCCTGACCCTGGCACTCCTGACCCTGACCCCTGGCACTCCTGACACTGACCCCTGGCACTCCTGACCCTGACCCCTGGCACTCCTGACCCCTGGCACTCCTGACACTGACCCCTGGCACTCCTGACCCTGACCCCTGGCACTCCTGACCCTAACCCCTGGCACTCCTGACCCTGACCCCTGGCACTCCTGACCCCTGGCACTCCTGACCCTGACCCCTGGCACTCCTGACCCTAACCCCTGGCCCTGACCCCTGGCCCTGACCCCTGGCCCTGACCCCTGGCACTCCTGACCCCTGGCACTCCTGACCCTGACCCCTGGCACTCTTGCAGGAACAGTTGCTACACATCAGGAAGAAAAGACTAATATTGCTGCCGAGTGAAACAGCTTTATTTTTTTCTACATCATCCAATACAATCACAGGATGAGAGTTATCTTGTATTTTCATTACAAAGTTTGAGCAGAAAGTAATGGTTCTCGGCTTTATTTTCATACGTCTAATGTTTCATTGCAGTGTAAAGTGTGTTTTTCATTCAGGAAAGATCATGAAAGTTATTTGGGGGAGGAAGAACACCTTGACTCACATACACCAAATGAACATGAAACTCCACAATTATAATAATAATTTATAATAATAATAATAATAATTTTTATTTAGGTAAAGGTACATACATAAAGAGATTTTACAAAGTTTGTTGGCTTTATAGATAAGAGCTAGTACATACAATGCCTAAAGCCACTATTACGCAAAGCGTTTCGGGCAGGAAAGTTCACGAGTTCACATTCTCAGTTCCAGTCGTACAAACATTAAACAACTATTGTTTACATATTAAAAGTTGATTCAGAATATTAGACAGGTAAAGTAAAGCTCTGTCAATTATAGAAGTGATGAAGGAGAGGCTACTAGCTACAGGGACAGAAGAACAGCCAAGTCTGTCTGTACACTCCCACGGTCCTTGCTACATCGTGAAAACATTTCCAGAATTGCTCGCGTCATCCAGGTCCGCGTTCAATCCCCGACGGTCCACAAGTGGTTGGGCACCTTTCCTTTCCCTCCGTCCCATCCCAAATCCTTATCCTGAGCCCTTCCCACTGCTATATAGTCGAAACGACTTGGCGCTTTCCCCCTGGACACATTCATGTTTAATGCTACACTTAAATATTGAATCTAGTTATTAGTGATGGAACTAGATCACCTGACCCCCTACGTCACCCTTCTATGGCCTTCTATGAGGCCTATGACAGTCCCCGACACTAGGTGAGTCATGTTGGGGAGCCTTGTGAGGCTAGCCCTGAGCGTCTGGCCTCCAGGTACGGACACACACACAAGCCAATTTAGCCCAATCTAGAATAATGATCCACATTAGTGGCGCAGTTTAATGCGTTTGTTAAGGCCGTGTTGGGCTGTAAGTCCATCCCTGTGTAGGAGTGTGCCTAGAGTGTGTGTGTAGGAGTGTGTCTCGTGTGTGTGTGTGTGTGTGTGTGTGTGTGTGTGTGTGTGTGTGTGTGTGTGTGTGTGTGTGTGTGTGTGTGTATGTATTAGCGTGTCTCGAGTGTATGTGTGTGTATGTAAGAGTGTGTCTCGAGTGTGTGTTGAGTGTATCATCAGAGGGCCTCATCTTGCTGCCCCAAGACTCAAACTCCCTACATAACTGTATTCTCAAACTGTTGTAACTCGAGGTATTATATGTATTCACCGGTGAGTAGATGAGTAGATGAGTAGATGAGCCGTGTCTCACTCTACCAGGCTAACACCTCCTCCTTCCCTTATAGCAAGCCTTACCCACTAGTATCCCCTGGAACAAGACCCGCCAATAGCTTTACAACCACACCACTAGGAGGACAGCTTGAGGCTTCAAGAAGACCTGGACAAGCTGCAGGAATCGTCGAACAAGTGGTTGTTAGAGTTTTACCCAAGCAAATGTAGGTTAAGTAACAATTGTAATTACGAAGCAATAAGATGCTTATCTTAAGATACTAACAAGGTTAGGTAAGGTCGGTGTTTTCTATGAATCTTTTTAAGGGTATCTATTATGTTTAGTATGTCACCTATGCACTTATTTAATAAGTCAATATTGACTTTACGAATTTGCGAGAACGGGTTGAATTACTCCTGGGTGAACAGAAGACAAAGCCACAACCTTCAGCGCTTACAACAACAAACTTCTTGATCACGTGACCTTTCAACATCAAGCTTTTTTTTCGTAGTAGTAGAAAATATAAGGTAAAATTTCGTACTAAAACTGGGGTAAAGTTTGTTTCATTTCTTGGTAAGATTTGCATAACTGGCGAATTGTGGGTTGCTGGGTGGAATGGCCTAGTTAGTGGTTGTAACGAGGCAGGTGTTGTAGCTCAAGCCAGCTACGGTGGTGTAGAGGAGACCAAGCCAGCTACGGTGGTGTAGAGGAGACCAAGCCAGCTACGGTGGTGTAGGGTAGGAGGTCAAGCCAGCTACGGTGTTGTAGGGTAGGAGGTCAAGCCAGCTACGGTGGTGTAGGGTAGGAGACCAAGCCAGCTACGGTGGTGTAGGGTAGGAGACCAAGCCAGCTACGGTGGTGTAGGGTAGGAGACCAAGCCAGCTACGGTGTTGTAGGGTAGGAGGTCAAGCCAGCTACGGTGTTGTAGGGTAGGAGGTCAAGCCAGCTACGGTGATGTAGGGTAGGAGACCAAGCCAGCTACGGTGTTGTAGGGTAGGAGACCAAGCCAGCTACGGTGATGTAGGGTAGGAGACCAAGCCAGCTACGGTGTTGTAGGGTAGGAGACCAAGCCAGCTACGGTGATGTAGGGTAGGAGACCAAGCCAGCTACGGTGTTGTAGGGTAGGAGACCAAGCCAGCTACGGTGATGTAGGGTAGGAGACCAAGCCAGCTACGGTGTTGTAGGGTAGGAGACCAAGCCAGCTACAGTGTTGTAGGGTAGGAGACCAAGCCAGCTACGGTGGTGTAGGGTAGGAGACCAAGCCAGCTACGGTGACTAGATCTATGCGGCGCCTACAACACCTCAACATGATCCAGTATGTTGTTACTGCCTTGTAAAGCATTTATGGTCTTTCTAGCACCTTCCATGTTTATATTACTAAGAGAGAGGATAGCCGGCGTTGCTCGGGTGCCGGGGACTAGCGGCCAGATTCACGAAGCAGTTACGCAAGCACTTACGAACCTGGGGCCAGATTCACGAAGCAGTTACGCAAGCACTTACGAACCTAGGGCCAGATTCACGAAGCAGTTACGCAAGCATTTACGAAACTGGGGCCACATTCACGAAGCAGTTACGCAAGCACTTACGAACCTGGGGCCAGATTCACGAAGCAGTTACGCAAGTACTTACGAACCTGTCCATTTTTTCTCAATCTTTGGCGGCTTTGTTTACAATTATTAAACAGTTAATGAGCTCCGAAGCACCAGGAGGCTGTTTATAACAATAACAACAGTTGATTGGCAAGTTTTCATGCTTGTAAACTGTTTAATAAATGTAACCAAAGCCGTCAAAGATTGAGGAAAGATGTACATGTTCGTAAGTGCTTGCGTAACTGTTTCGTGAATCTAGCTCCAGGTTCGTAAGTGCTTGCGAAACTGCTTCGTGAATCCGGGTCCTGGCTCTTTTGCCCCGCCTCTCAAAAAACAATTCAGCTGATGGATTGGCAGTTTTCTCACACACACACACACACCCAGGAAGCAGCCCGTAGCAGCTGACTAACTCCCAGGTACCTATTTACTGCTAGGTAACAGGGGCATCAAGGTTAAGGAAACTGCCCATTTGTCTCCGCCGGCACCGGGGACCGAACCCGGAATAT